TTTACCCCTTTTATTTTTTTAATTTTTTTTACTACATAGTTAATTATAATGCCTGAAATATTGCATAGTAACACGCGATAATGAGATTACCTTGTGTAGCTAATTAATTAAAAATATTTGACTAGATGTAATTAAATTTTTGTTTTTGGAAATCTTGTTCATACTATTTGGATTATGTCATTTGACTAACTTGAGATAGTCAAATAAAAAAAAATATTATTGAGGATTGTGTAATAAGTGCAACCTATTAAATATTAATTGCTCATTTGCTTGTTGAAAATAAATTTTGCAGTCAAATATTTTTTCGAAAATGATTCACTTAATCTAACATCAATGAGAATGAGTATTTCTATGTTTTAAGGCATAATTTTCCTACCTATATCGGATTACACTTTTTAAATTTGTTGAATTCTGATATTGAATGTGAATTGTATAAAAAATATTTTAATTAGTAAAATTATGATATTGTTTGTAGACGAAATTGTTTTTATTTTTAAAGGGTGCTACTTTTTTAATCAAATAATAGTATCTGATTGCGGACATTATATTTACTAACAAGTTTGACTAAATACAAATCTTATCGAGCAAACATCTTATTGGTGAAAACTATTTAATTAATAGAACTTAATAATTGAGAGAAAGTCAAATAATTTAATTGATGGGCCTAAGTCCAAATAACCCATATAAGAAAGCCCATAAAGAACACATGCATGCATATGCCCAATAAAGTCGGCAAATCATAGCCTATCTATAGGATTAAATATCAATTTAAGACGAAGTGATGCATGAATGAGTTATTATTCGAATTTGGGAAAATTCAAAGTATCAAAGTTATAGTAACTGTTCATTCACTCAAATAAAGTTGCAAATCATAAATTTGAATATTTAATTAATTGAATAATCGGCAATCTACCCTATACATAGGATCAAATATCAACTTAAGACGAAGTCGTGCATGAATGAGTTATTGTTTGAATTTGGGGAAATTCAAAGCATCAAAGTTGTAGTAACTGTTCATTCACTCATTTATACATAAACTCTCTTACTTGATATTCAATTTGTTTAATTCAATATGAATTAGAAAGTCAATCCAGATAATTAAAAGTTTAACTTTTTGAGTTTTGCGAAATTCATACTGAAAATGGTCAAAATCGCATTTAAAATCGAAACAATATTAGTTAAATTGAAATGGTACTTAAAGCCTCCCTCAAATAAAAATTGTTAACATCGAAAACAATGTTTTGAAGATCAGACTCATTGTCACACCACGTGCCTTCAGAATTATAGAGCCCTGAAACTGAATTCTTCTTTCGTCTTGATGAAGCTTTTGCATGAATTGTTTTTGGTGTTCTTTTCACTCCTCGCATTGCGTGTTAGGGGTCCACAAGGTAGCACAAACTTCACATTCGTATGATATTGTCCACTTTTGACTAGTTCACATGGATTTACTCTTGAATTTTACGAGAACGCTCATACCAATAAAGTTGTTACCCTACCCAATAAAACCATGATTTTTTCCCATATTACACCGACGCAGAATTTGATTTGCATATTCACAATGCGCCTTAGCACGTTGCCTCCACGTCAACTCTTCTTTATCTAACCTCTCGACCAACTCTCACGACATACTACTAACATTTGAGTTAACTCCTCGATTGTTACTCTGAAGCTAATGTTTTATATCTTAATTGGCTAAAGATACACCCGTTTGACGGTAGCTCCCATCAACATCGTTTTTAGAAAAACTGGCAATAAAATCGTTCAAATTAAATAAGTAACATAAAACTTACTTAAAACATGAAAATATAAACTCTTTAGAGTTATATCTTAAATACGAATGTGCAAATTACTCATAATTTACTACATAAACAATTATCAAACTACAACGTAACCGCCTCTTTCGTAAAATTCATTATGTCAATTCTTTTACGGTTGAGCATGCTAACTAAATAAAAATTATCTTATACGGGTTTGTATCGAAATTGAACTGAAATCCACCATAGACCCCAATCCAGCAGTCCTCGGCTCCGCCCACACGTGTATATATCCATCCACATACCTACACGAACAATTTTACGTAAATCAAGAAACAAA